CTCTCTCTCTCTCTCTCTCTCTCTCTCTCTGTCTCAAAATAAGTCAGATCACATCACTGCTCTGCCCCACCCCTCCAAGAGCTCCATCAGATCCAGAGTAAAAGCGAGTCCTTACAGGAGCCCAAGGGGGTCGACACAGTCCTCTCTCCCTGCACCTCTGACCTCAGCTCCCTTCACCCTCCCCTTCACCCCAGCTGTTCCTCTCACTCCCCGGCCTGATTCAGCCTCCGGGCATTTGGGCTGTTGCCTCCGCCCTAAGCTCTTTCCAAAGATATCTGCTTGGCTTTCTCCCTCACCTCCCTGAAGCATTTCTCAAAATCCCTTTCTCATGAGAAGCTTAACAGTGCGAACGCCCAGCTCCCTCCCTACCCACCCCGCCCGGCTTCCTTCTCCAGCACACTTGTGTAGCTACATGCAACGTACTGTGTAACTGTATTAACTATGCAACTCATTCACTGTGTCTACGGTTCAACACACACTCCACCCCACACGTATATACAAACTCTAGAAGGTATACTTCAGAAGAGCAAGAATTTTACTCTGTTTTGGTCACCGATGCGTGCTGAGCACCTAGACTGGTGCTTGGCAAATCGATATTGACGGAATGCTTGAAGGAATGTTTCTGGGACAAGATGTATTGGAAATCTGTTGTTTTGTAACAGATCGTCACAAAACTCAGTGGCTACAAACAGCACACATTTATTATCTCACAATCTCTGCGGGTCAGGAATCCAGACATGACTTGACTGGGCCCGCTAGGACTGCGGTCTCATTTGACGGCTCGACTGGGGACGGATCTGTTTCCTGGTTCACATGGTTGTTGTCGGGATTCAGTTCCTGGTGGGCAGATGGACTGAGGGTCTCGGCTCCTTGCTGGCTTTTGGCTGGAGGTCACCTTTGGTTTCTTGCCACTTGGACGTCTTCATGAAGGAAATCAGGACCCGGCAGCTTGGGTCATCAAAGCCAGCAAGGAATAGAGTCTGCTAGGAAGACAGAATTTGCATTCTTGGAGACAGTGATCCCAGAGGTGACATCCCATCACCTGTGCTGTAGGTTATTGGTTTGAAGCAAGTGGCAGGCCCTGCCCACACTCAGGGGGAGGAGATCACACCGAGAGATGAACAGAGGAGAGGATCCCTGGGGCGTGTGAGAGGCTGCTCAAAAGAGCCCAGGGCTCACAGCCCCAAGTCCAGGGTGGATAGCCTGGCTTTGCCACTTACCATGTGGATTCCAAGGAGGCTGTTTCATTCCCCGAGATCACTTACCTCCGTCTTCAGTGGGGACAGCAGTGCCTCTCAGAGGATCACACAGAGGAGGAGTCAAGGCTGCCTCCGGAAAGTGGGGTGCCCAAGCTGAGAGGAGCCCGTGAAGAGCTCAGGCCAGGATGCTGTGGGGGGGGGGGGAACGGGACCCACAGACGTTTGTTCCTAAGCTTTGGTTTTTCTCAAGAGAACAATTCCAACGATGAGGTCCTAAAAGGTTAGGCGTCACTGTCCTCACCACCAACACGTCCCCCTCAAGGATCCCAGCAAAACGTCCCAGGGAAGTGGCAGCCACAGCCAGATTTGGGGCCGATCGGTGTTTTAAAAAATAAAAAAGTGATGTTGGCCGAAGAAGGAATCGTGAGTCTCACGCACACACGCCATCAGCATGTGCCAAACGCTTTACTGAACGAGGGAACTGGTGAGACAGGACAACCAGCTCACAGGAAGGCGTGAAGGACGGACACATTGATGGGTTAGGAATATCGGAGCGGGTCTGCAAATTGCGCAGAACTGCCTCGGGAGGGGAGCACGGGGTGAGGGTCGCCCCCACCACTCACCACTCCATCGCTTTCGCGTCCACGGGCAAAAGCCGTGTCCATTGCCGTCTACCCTCGGCAACTGGGACTGCAGAACAGCACAAAGGCAACGAAAAGCGAGGACAAGGGGACGTCTGGGTGGCTCAGTCGGTTAAGCATCTGACTCTTGATTTCAGCTCGGGTCATGATGTCACGGTTTCGTGACTTCAAGCCCCACGTGGGCTCTGCCCACAGCACGGAGCCCACGTGGGATTCTCTCCCCCCTATCTCTGCCCCTCCCCTGCTCACTCCCTCTGTCTCTCTCAAAATACATAAATATATTTTTAAAAAACAATTAAAAAAATAAAAGCTAGAAAGAGGGTGGGGGCGCATCTGGGTGGCTCAGTCGGTTAAGCATCTGCCTTCAGCTCAGGTCATGATCTTTCAGTTTGTGAGTTCGAGCCCATCGG